CATTCGTAGGCCTATGGGGCGTAGGCAGCCTGCGCTAATGGGTGGTAGTGGATGTAGTGAGTTCCCTGATATTACACCCCACCAAGCCGTTGGCGGGACGGTGGAAGAAATGTCAGTATCTCAGAAACTGTGCCAACAAACAAGAGGAGAACGAGAAAAGCCTTTAAACTGACTGTTCTTTCATATACCTCTAGGAATATTGTGATTTGTTTTGCCGAATAATGAGAGAGGGAGAGGGTTAGCAAAGCGTTTCCAATGGCATAGGGTACTTGGAGGGGTATGAGAACTTTGCTAATGAGGCTGTATTTAGCGTAAGGTTGGAAGTAAGGGGTCACAAGGTGTTCCGCCACTTGCACCAATACGGATCCAGCCCGAACGGTTATCAGAGATTGCCTACCCTTGTCCCCGTCATCTCAACCAATCACTCAGGCATCCATCGAAACTATTGGCAAAGAGTCCTACCACACGGCACGATAGCAGATCTACCTTGAGCTACCATCCGGTTTTTGCGGTCCCTTCCCACTACTCGTACAGTACACCTGGCGCAGTCCTGCATATCAATACCCGCAGTTCAAAGAGGAAAATGGGGTCCTATCGACCCGGGCGGCCCGAGATCTGAGGGGAGATCTCGCGGCACATTTGCGCGATCCTTTTTCTAATCCAACTTGTGTGTGAACCAACCTCCATAGAATCGTAGAAGCTCTCTTGGTGGGGTGGGTAAATGGTATCCACGATACGAAGCGCTGTGTATTCGCGCTTGGTAATCAAGGGCGGAAAAAGGGATCAGCAAGATCATATGGGGAAGTTGGCAGTTGGTCGGCAATAGTGGAAAAAAACATGGCCTTGTTGACATGAGCAACCCGGAGTGGATGCAAGGTAGATTATATTACAACAGGGGGAGGGTCCCATAGATATTTCTTGAGACTCTGACTAGCCCTACAGAATCCCCAATTCGTGGCCCTCAAGAAACGTAAACAGTAATGCAACTGGTCTGGGTTTCCGACCCCTACAAAGCTATGTTTCTTTCCACATTGTTTATGAATCGATCAACATAATCCCTGCCACCACAAGTTTTCCGCCCTTTATGACCATGCACGAGTGCTCTGTGAGAGAGTATTGGGGCTGTGTCACCACTAGCCGATTGGCTTCCAAAGTAGGAGACGAGGGGCTGTTCAGCCAACAACAGGATAGAAGACAAAATTCCTTCCTTCCCCGCGCGGATGGAAGGATCCATGGATAGCCGTTTCGTTTCCATACCGGTATTTAGCGAAGGGGTGCCTAAGCGGTGGTGTCACGGTGGGACGGCGCCGAGCAACTAGTGATAGCATATGGCAAGATCTGGGGCTGTGGCATACTGAAACTGCTTTTGTTTCAGCGACTTTGGAACACTAGTGTTGGTCGAGATGAACCTCTCATGCAGTAGGACAGGTACTGTACTCCCGCTAACTCAGACCGCAGGATGTAAACTAGTAAGGTAGGAGCATACCGGTAGGTTCCTTTTTTTCGCCTCGGCACAAGCGCCTGATCCATGGAGTTAGATCTTAAGCGGCCCCTACAGCCCGTTGGGGGCTGATTACCGCCTGCTTAGTAATATGTCCACCTAATCCCTCCCGTTGAAACAGTGAAGGTACCTTCTCATCCCGGGGTAAATCTCTGACTATCGTATCCTCAGATCCCCAGCCTCCAGTCCTTGTATCGTGAGCTCGTGCTTGGGAGGGAAAGGACCTCGGCGATGAAAATGTTTCAGAGGGGAAGTGGGGTGTTTGAGACCGATGAAAAACGAAAAAAAATTAGCTACCGATATTTGGAAGTTTAGTAGGTTAGGAAGGTTTCTTTTCTTATTCGTCTTACTCATGGCACCGGTTAATTGGGCTTCTGCTACCAAAGCATCGGTAGCCGGATTAACTGTGCAACGAAATGATAATTACAATTTATCAGGCACTCCGGAGTATTTTTCTTGCTCAAGTAACCCCCCTCTTCTCTCATTTTAGGTAACAATGTTTGGTTAAACCGCAAGTTCGGGAAAAACTTTCGGGGGAGATGTGGTGAGACGATTGTTCTGACCCGAGTGAGATATCATGCAGCTCTGCATGGCACCACAGCCACACTCTTGCTTTTCCGACAACCGGAGGAGGGCGCCTATGATTATTGCATCAAAGTCCCTCAGGCAGATATAAAAAAGAAACATTCATTCTCTTATTAAACTCAACTAATTTCTCGCTAAGGGCTTCAGCAACACAAGGGGGGGGGATATGTGGTGGTGACTTACGAGGAAGGTCGCGATCGTGATATGTTGTTTCTTTGTCAGCAGTTTGTTAATAGTATTCTAGGAGACGCGGTATCAACAGGGTCTTGGGAAAGGCAGAGAATTCATCAGACATCAGGCAGGAAGACAAAGAAGCATAGGAACAAAGAACCATATTGACGATTGTGGATCCTTTCTATCGGTGGCTTTCATCTTCTTTCTTTCTCCGCCTCTTTTGTTTCTTCATTCATCGAACCTTCACGTTGGTTTAGGAATCGATACTTAGACACGGGCTTAGTGAATACCCCTTTTCCTGTCTTACCATATCACCTTGACCAAGAATTCCGTGAGTGCCTAATCATCACGAAAGGGCGCCTGGGATTGAAACAGCTTAACAATACCTTATGACATTTACCGTTGCCGCTGGTGTCGGGTAAACTCTTCTCTAATAAGTTTCCGTACCCCATGGCAACCAAGTACAATCCTACACTATTAGTTTAATATCCCATCGCCGGAAAAGTTGAAATAGAGATTGAACAAAAAGAGTATGTCCATTAGGATATGGCTCTATTTGATGTTATAGTATAAATATATTATGATAAAAGTTGAAAAGGGAATATATGCTAAAACAAAATACTGAAGTCTATCAGAACATAGTATTCTGCTGGTTTTTCTTTGTTTTATTGGTGTTTTCTGGTTACATATGTTTTGAACCAGTTGGGTATTATGGGGTGGTATATATTCTTAAAGCAAAAATCTATTCTTCTGAACAAAATCGAGTTGTAAAAATATTTTCTTCTGAAGCTACCTGATCATACCCTAGATTTTAATGATATTATCTATTCTCATACCTGATTAATATTATGGATTACCTATACACCATGGGTATGACTATAACTAGAATACATGTTATACATACTCATTGAATATTTCATGTTTATAATTAGGTATTGTGCTTTGTAGTTTTCTTAGAATACCACAGACAAAGTTACTACTCAACGGTTGCTCCCTAGGGTTGAATAAGCTATTCCCAAGACCTGAGGATTTTTATAGCAGTTTCGGACTCACATGCGGTACTCGAGTACGATACTTGGCGGTTGAAACAAACTTACCCGTCAGTTCTATTTGCATATCTGCTTGGTTGTATTCGATTGTAAATGACCTGTCTATTTGAAGAGGACAGCGATTATGTACAAATCAGGAAAAACAAAGTTAGGTCCCCCAACCCTGGTACCAACGGCTACTGGCACAATAGTATATCCCGGTGTTGACTGCGATTCTAAGGGTGTACAATTGAGGAAACCTCTTATACTGAATGAATATGAAAGTACCACCCTGCACCACTCTGTGTTTGGTATGGCCAATCTTAGTCGACTAATTAAGAAAGTGTTTCGGTATCAACTCCTGCATCCCTGGTGAGAGATAGGATGGACATCTCTGGAAGCTCCAATCATAAACAACCAAAAAATAACTTTGCCCCCGGAGTTCACCACCTCTCGAACAGCTTAGACGCTTGGGGGGCAATTTCTTGGGTCATCAGGACACTACAGAAAGCTCTATTCTGTCAGATGTCGGGAAATTCGCTGGTTTCATTGATATCTTAGGTCTATTAGTGTTTCCGGGAGATCCGGGTTATTAATCCCGAAAGGAGGACGGTGTCACGTGACAAATAATTATCGTGGTAATCATTCGGGCACAGCTTTCATATCTTACTAACTATTGTAATTCCCTTCACGATTAGAACTTTAGATTGTCACTGATCGTTGCGCTACCTTGGGGTAATGGGAGGATCTTCAAGAGTGCAACCTTAGGACTACCAGTAGTCCTTGTCAAATGTCTTATCGATTCCAACCGAGGTGTGCAGGTTGGTTGCGAGCTCCGCTGATTCTCCTCATCCACTGGCTAGATATCCGTTGGCCATATCACAGGAACGGGCTAGGGCCCGGACTATCATTTGCTAACAGTATTTAAGCACATCTCCCAGCCTCCGCCCTTCCGGGGTACTTTCACAACTCTCATCCGGCCTAAGCATCACCGGTCAACTTTCGAACCTCAAAATCCAAATATCAGTTAGACCTGAAATGGCACCAACCGTGACTAGTTCTTACAGCGCGCTCACGGCTGAGACTACAAATGTTCCAATTGAGGATAGAATAGGTATACCTGAGCCAGGTATGGAGTTTGAGAGCCCAGAGGCTGAGAGGCAATACCTTAAAGAGAGACTCGCTGCTGGATTCAGAATTTTTGCAAAGCATGGGTTCGATGAAGGGGTCGGTGAGAACTCTCATCATCTCTAATTGCTAGTGATTCTAATTCTGACAATATTTGCTATAGTCGGCCATATATCCCTTAGGGTAGCGAAGCCACAATTCCCCAGGTCTTTCTCATGGCTAACACGAACAGGATCCAATTAACCCACATGCGTTTTGGGTGGGCAGAAATCGCTCCATCCTCCCCCGTTTTGCTGTTGCCTAAGCGCTGACTATGGGGTTTTAGGTTAATCCACTTGGCCTTCACTTTTCCTTAATAAAAGCTTCGGATTTGCTTCTCATTGATGAATCCGGGAAGGTCCTTGAAGGTGGTGCAAATCGCCACCTCAATCTCGCTGCGTTTATGACCCATTCGGCAATCCACAAAGCCCGCCCCGATGTTAACTGTGCCGCACATGCCCACTCCTTATATGGCCGTACATTTTGCACTCTTGGGAGGACTCTAGATATCACTACCCAGGACAGCTGTGCCTTCTATAATGTCAGTCCTGACCGATCGGTTTAGAGGTAGATATTGATTAATACACGGTAACAGGATCACGTGTTGTATGGAAATTTTAGAGGCGCAGTCCTAGATGAAGGGGAGGGTATTGATATTGCTCAGACTCTTGGAGCCAAGAAAGTACGTAACTTATAAACTTGGAAATAGACGTTATCCCTATAGTAACCGGAGGTACAGGCAGCTTTGCTCCAAAACCATGGACTACTCACCACCGGTGGGACCGTAGAGGAGACCGTATTCTGGTTCCTATCTCTGGAGAAGTGCTGTCATAGCCAATTGCTCGCAGACGCAGCTGCAGCCGGTAGGGGAGAAACGACCAAGAAAATTGGCAACAAGGAGGCTATGGAGACGTATGCCACCCTGTCACCCCCTCTGAGTTTGCCATAGAGCTAACCTCCTTGGCCGAACGTAGCTGGAAGGTGTTCGGCAGCAGAAGGATCGGACACTTCTCAGGGAGGCCGTTATTTGACTTAATTGAGGTTGAGACTAAGGGGGATTACAAAAATTAGCTTAGACATTAACCAGTAGACAATTCAATTCAGCGTAGGAATCGAATTAAACTGGATAGCAAAATCCTGCGTATTATTCTACTGGTTTCCGAATGTGATTGATGGTATGAGCTGGGATTTGTGGGGTTCTAACTACTGTAAAGGCTCTTCGGGGGCAGATTAAACGACGGTTGCGGTTGCCCATACTCTAGGATACCGGAATCTCCTCTCGCAGTAATGTCTAACATAGTAGGGAGGGGCAACGAACAGAACAGGTGACGAACGATACACCAAAAATTTAGAGGGAAATATCAAATTTGGGGAGTCTGTTCTCTGGATCCGTAGTGTGTTAATACTTTCCTTTACTACTGTATTTTTCCCCGCTTTTCCAGAGAGGGAAATTTTGTGCTGCCATACCTAGAACATAGTCTGTTTAGTGGGGTGTTTATATCTGGCGGTATCCACACTCACATCCCTACCGCAACAGTGAAATTTCTCAAAAGATATACAGCGATGTAGTAAAGCCAGGTAGGTGCTGGTGGGTTAGCTCCGTCGTGGAGTCGATCTTTTGAGAATTGTGTCTTATAATAGCCCGAAATATTTCGCGCAGCGGCGATAGTGTTTGACCTCCCTGCGTTAACCACGCCTGGTATCGATATTGTATGAAATTTCACCAGCAGGAAGTGATTTCTCATGGTTCCGTCCGGTCAGGTCAGGCCCCACAGAAGGCTCTCCCGCAGTCCCGCTAGAGTCACGATATCCCCGCGATCGATACGAATTTGTGGGTATGGGGTTGTAAATTTCCTGGGATATCCGGAATTACTATATGAGCCTAGTGAAAGCAAGTAAGGCAGAAAGGGTAGGGGTTCTATCCGGGATCACCCACCCCCCGGGCACGTCCGATGCAGTCTATGTTCTGGATTTGCATAGAAAGCAAAGCGGTGCGTTCTACGCTCTTCTAGCATTGAGTAAAGTATCGGTGTAGTTAGCGGGTATTTATATGTGGGGAAGCTTGGCATACATAAGTGTAAGGGATAAAGTTGGAGAATGAAGTGTGGTCCCCTAGAATAACCCTTCAGAACTGGGTATGGTGCCATGATTGTCGGAAGGTGGGGGTATTAGGGGGGTAAATGGTGCTCCCGGTAGCCTTTTATGTGTATCCGGTTCCCTTCTCTCTCCTGGTAGGTTTGGAAGTATTCTGCACTTTCTCTTTGTACGAAATTTCGCATATGGGTCCTAGCAGAGTCAGGAGGGAACGGCGAGTTTTCTGACATTGTGGTGAGGCCAGCCCTGCCTCGCCCAGATATCCCCCCTTTTTTCTTCTCTCTCCCTCTTTTCAAAAATGATGAGGTATCATATTACAGATCGCTTAATCTCTATCATGTTGAAGGTTGGGGAATGCTGTCGAGGGTTGTAGGAGTGCTCTCTTGTCTGATGATTAGAATCCTTGGAGTTCGCCGGTGCTTAAGGAGAGATATCTAATAGAGGAAGTATGGAGTGTGAGGCAGTTGGGTTTCCGACCGGCGTCAGTGGCCATTAAGCTCCGAGCCTGGGAGCCCACTGAGCCATCTCGGCGAATCCGGGTGGTTATCCTGATAATACCTACTCTAGCATCGTCGCATCTTGGGGGATTGGTACGATTCTCTTTTGTATTCCCGTCGCTAGTGAATATTTCCAAGGCTGCTATAGTACCTGTGCATTTAGTGAATGTGCTTTATTCTCCCTACTCATTGTGAAGAGATATATATTGTAGCTGTTAAGCGCGTGGTCAGGAGAAATGGTAATATCATCCGTTTAACTAGTCTCGCTACGCACCTGACCAAATGCTATTCACTAACTCGATTAAACCATAAGGAAATCCAACACTCTCACAAAGGAGTAACTTACCATGCCCGGCGACGGTCTTGGCGGGGAAAACGAGTGAGGGCCTGTGATTTAAGATTTCGTATGTCGCCCTCTTGTCTCGAATCATGTTTTTAGGATAGACATATGGTTGTCGGGATATTTCAAGCAAGCTAGGGATAAAGGTAGCCTATTCCATGGATTTATAGGTATTGTGCCAGGTCGGCAGAGCCTGGGAGTGAAAACACATAAGCTAAACAAGGGCAGTCAAGTGAAGACAGAATAAAATTGAGGGGGCAAGAAATGCTCGAAATATTAATCATTTCCTTCCGCTCCTAAGTGCTCAAGCTTTAGCCTTTTTCGGGAGTACACAAGAATATTTCTGATAGCTAATAGTAATGACCAAATGGTACTTGTATTACTCAATACAATGAATTTAATTGACCCCATGCTCAGAGAATAATCTCCAAGAGCAGAGGTCACACCCCATCATCAGCTAAGGTAAAGTATCAACAATGAATTTAGGTATATATTTTAATTATTCCCTTCGATGTCGAGTGTCCACTTTTACATCCAGACCGCAACTTTGTACTTACTCTTACATCCAATCACCTTCCTCAGCCTAACGCCAGTATTGTACCGTACCCTAGCGGCACAAGACGCTTCCCCGCATCAATGGTTGAAGGTTCTAGAAACGTTGGATGGATGGAGTAGATTATGGAAGTTACGGGAGTCTCGCGGATAGTTCAGGAGTATGATATATCAGTATGGAGGTTCAAATATTTTATGGAGATTCTCCAAACATGTCCTTCCTTAGTTATCGCGGGAGTGTGCGGAGAAATGGCGGGCATGCGTAGAGAGACAGAGAGAGGTGCGGTGATCATTGGGGGGATCGGGATGCATTGTTTCGTTTTCACACACTTGTCTTTACCATTACAGTTGGTTTAAGTGGAGTAAAGACGAATGAAGAACGAAGCTGTTTACCATATCTCCCTCATTTATCAACACACCGCCCTAGTTCCAGGACAAAAATTCTCTTACTCACTATCTCCCGCTCCGAGCTTGTCTTCTACTTTTATCCGTCATTTAGATTAACCATGTCGGCAACTTTCTCGAAGCCTAACTTCAACCCAAAACGCCTGTAACACTAAATCTAATACTCTGCAGAAGCCTAACCCACCCCAGCTCTCACAAACAGGATATTGCATATAATACTCACTTGACATATGCAGGTTTACAGCAGAATGGCACTACCTACCTGGAGTTTACTCCCTTAGGTCCGTCCGTCTTCTAGATCACCCAACAAGCACTAAGGTACGTCGTATGTAAGGTAAGTTTGTTGTTGCCTTGGTGGGTCGCACGTAGTTGTGCTTGGAAGTACAAAACTTGGTTTTGAATGCGGGACTGGAGGAGCAGGGCAGATATTTGGGTTGATTTCTTGTTTGTTAGGTTTGTAGTGGCAATGGCAAGGTGGGGGGAGGGTGTTGTAATTCTCGATATCATCGTAAGGCTTGTTTTGGGATAATGCTCGTATTCATACCGTATTGTCTCGCTCCTTGTTGAGTGAGGCAGTATAGTATTGCAGGGCAAGGTAGGAGGGAAGGGTGTTGTGGTTAGAGTTTCTAGGGCGATGGGGATGTAAATACTCAAGTATTCGTACTATACTACACCTATCCGCCGAGTGGGATATGGTGTGGGCTAAACAAAAGCTTGAGAACATGTAAGGGATTTCCTTTTGATATGCTAGATGCTCTTTCCCTTCCTTAAATTTACAAATAATGAATCGTGTTCATTTCTGTCTGCTTCAACACGCTTCTACTTTCGCGATCCCGCTAACTAGTTAGGGAGAAACAGAAGGGATTTCTTCCCAGATATTAGAGGGAGGTCATGTGATACTCTGGCAGCGAGTTGAGTCTACTGCCACAGTGCGTTAACGTCTTGCAAAAGATATCCATGCCCACCTCTTTCTCACCTATTCTCTCCTCTCGAAGTCTTCAGCAGTTCATTCCCAGGCCCGGTCATGGCTCTAGGTGTGCAGGGAGGGGCTCCTATATGATACCTTTGTGAATACTATACTCCTCGAGTGCCGGGCTTTCCTCTTCTTGGGATACGAAGTCTATTGGTTTGGGATTGGCACCCCACATCCGACAGGAACGTTCATATGTTTAGCATTTCTGGCTTCCCCGGTATTCTCTCTTTTGTGGGGGCTTCTGGGAGGGATCCTGAACGCCTGACTGAGGTGAATGTTAGTCATGCTTCCAATGGAAATGGCTTCCCACTTACAAATTTTGTCAAGCCCTTCTAATTTTCCGTAAAAGGTGGTATTTACCAGTGGGTTATATGCTTTTCCACCACACTAGCTTGCTTATCGTAGAATCACTAGATGTAAAGTGACGATGATGCCAATCAGAGGTACAGGCACTAGACAAAATTGCTGGTGATGGCGCAATCTGACACAATGCCGGTGCCCTAACCTGCCGAGAAAGATCGGATGAAATTTTGTAATACATTACAAACTAAATATTAAAAAATAAAACTAAAGGTAAAGAGCTCACAGCCAATGTCTATCCTGATGGCAAGTTGGTTTGGTGCAGCACAGTCGGAACAGTTGCCCGTTGGTGATGGCAACTTGCATAGACCTGAGGGAAAACGGACAGTAATTGGAAAGGAGAGAGTGTGTTCGTTGTTCAATAGATGATATAATTCAGAAAAATACTTAGGCCCTGTTTGGCATGCCAAAAATACGATAGTATTTCCACTTTTACGGAGTATTTTTCACCATATTTTTATTTTAGTTTGGCCTAGTGTTTGGCAACAACAAATACTATAGTATTTTTATAAAAATACAGCTGTATTTTTTTACTATAGTATTTTTCTTACAAATAAAATAGACAAATAAATTCAGGCCTATATCAAGTAATATTATGTGACATTATCAATTGTAATCCTGTCCTCCACTATAAATATCTTCTTATATCTTTATATCCGCATTCTTAAACCTAGAATTACAAGAAATTCCTCTCTTACCATTATTCCAATATATATCCTCCAATTCAACAAGACGCCTTTCTCCAAAATTATGAATGCTGATTTAAATATTACCAATAGCAATGCAAGCGATGTTCCTTTCAGACTCAATGCCTGCTTCTGTTGAATGTTATAATCGCTGTCACAGATATTGTAACGTGTTCGCAAGAATTCTCCCCGCACTAGCTCTTTAATACGCTGCTCGGGAGAGGGCCTGCTCTTCTAGAGAGGAGGCGAGAGCTGAGAACTAAAGGAGGCTTCGAGGGTGTACTGGGAAACAAAGAAGTAACTGGTCAACCAAGTATATTGAAATACTGTCTGTCGAAGTCTGCCTTTTCTATTGTAGAAACAGGCAGTCTTTAAATACACAAATCTGTTCATGCCTATCATGAGCAAAACTAATCAAAGATATCAATTGATACACTTTGGTAAAACTAATTAAGTATCAAAGTGATACTTAAAACAAAACATAAAACAAAACTAAGTATCAAATGATACTTAAAACAAACCAAGTATCAAAGCGATACTTAAAACAAAACATAAAACAAAACTAAGTATCAAATGATACTTAAAACAAACCAAGTATTAAAGCGATACTTAAAACAAAACATAAAACAAAACTAAGTATTAAATGATACTTAAAACAAACCAAGTATCAAAGCGATACTTAAAACAAAACATAAAACAAAACTAAGTATCACATGATACTTAAAACAAACCAAGTATCAAAGCAATACTTAAAACAAACCAAGTATCAAAGCGATACTTAAAACAAAACATAAAACAAAACTAATAACCGAGTACCTGTACCGGTTACAGATGTTACGAGTACACAATAGGCAGTTGAGCCATGTTACACTTCAGCACTTAAAGGAAAAGCTTATGTTAACAAACTTCTTGCTCCTTTGACTAATCCTTGATGAGTAGTTGAGGTATTGAGAATGTCTCATGAGGTATTTCTTGAACTATGTCAATGGTTTACAGAGAGAGGTCTTTTTATCTCAAGAAGATTTGTGGATTTAGACGAACAGGTAGCTATGTTCATCTGGACCATGGGTCGGAATGCTTTGAATCGAGAAGTACAAGAAAGGTTTCAGCATAGTGGTCATACAATACAGTAAGCCGGTAAGTTCAAATTGCTTCTATCTCTTCAATTATTTTATATGAAAACTAATCCAGCATAAAAATAATAGATACTTCAATCTTGTTTTGAATGCTTTCATAAATCTTCATACAAGTTTTGTAACTCTTCCACCGAATGAGTGCCCATATGAAGTCAAGAGAAGCAAAAAATTTTACCCTTACTTCAAGGATGTACTAGTGCATACATGAGTATGGTCTCACGCGATGGAGAATAAGAGGTTTCTGCAAGGCTCACTTAGGAAGTAGTAGTGTAAGGTTGGTGATGTGAAGCTTTGTAGAATGGAATTAAGGAGATAGATAGTGAGGCTGTAGATGGGGAAGTTGATGTGTTATAAATACAGAAGACGTTGCGTGAAGAAGAAAGAAAGGAAGGAAAGGAAAGAAGAAAACGACTATCTATTTATGCTGGTAAATAACCAGTCACCTACTCCAAACCCCACAAACCAGGGCACAAAATGCTTGTAGGTTAAAAACCTATCAAACACAAAACATCTATTTACCACTCTGAAACCGTGAAATGCGGTAGCAGTCTGGTATCATAGTTCTTTAGTTGAAATCGCAACTACTCCGGGTTTTAACTTCCTAGTACCCCCCTTTTTCCTCAAAACCCTGATCTGTACAATAAGATTCCGGAGATTCCTGATCGCATCCCTGCCATCCTCGATTTTTACCTCCACAACACCCGAGCACAAAGTGACCGTTTCAAAATGGAAGTGTGTTCGTTTTTAGAATACAAGTACAGTATGGGACACGATCGCAAAACGGTACGGAATCGTATTCAAGCGCACCCTAAAAGAGTTTTGGATTGCCACGGATCGTCGCTCTAACTTAGGGTAAGGTGAGGATCATCAAGCGGGAAACCTTGTGACTACGAGATACTCAAATACCATATTCTCGATAAATCCACCATCGCTAATCTCAGCAACTTGGGACAAAATACGCCATAGTATTTTCCAGACGCGGTATAGCCTGGATGAGCTGACCTTGCTTGATTCCATTAACTGGTATTCACAATTCTATCAACCTACTTGGCAAAACTTGTTGTGGCTCAGACTAGTCTAGCAATCCCTGTTGAGTAAACCCCCCTACAAGCGCCAAGCTCCCGATCCCCGATTGTGGATTTATCGACAGTTTACCGGTATCAATAACAGCCGAGTCATGCAAGGTTGGTTGCGAGTTCTGCTAATTCTCCTCACCCGCTGGCTACAGTAGACATCCGTTGGCCATCTTGCAATAATGGGCTGCGTCCTGGACCATCATTCGTTGACAGTATTTAAGCACATCTCCTCCCTACCTCCTCCCTCCTAACCCACCCTCGTCAACTCTCATCCGGCGTACCGACTACCAATAAACTTTCGATTCAAAATCCAAACATCAGTTAGCCGGTAATGGCACCAACGGTGACTAGTTCTCGCAGCGCACTCGCGGCTGAGACTATAAATGTTCCACTCGAGGATAGGGTAGGATGCCCTGAGCCAGGCGCAGGTATGGAGTTTGAGAGTCCAGAGACTGAGAGGCAATACCTTAAAGAGAGACTCGCTGCTGGATTCAGAATTTTTGCAAAGCATGGGTTCGATGAAGGAGTCGGTGAGAACTCCCATCATCCCTAATTACTAGCGATTCTAATTCTGACAATATTTGCTACAGCCGGTCATATATCCCTTAGGGTAACGGAGCCGCAATCCCCATCTCTTTCGAATGGCTAATATGAACAGGATCCAATTAACCCACATGCGTTTTGGGTAGGCAGAAATCGCTTCCCTCTCCCCCGTTTTATCGCTGCCTAAACGTTGGTTATGAGGCTTTAGGTTAATCCGCTTGGCCTTCACTTTGCCTTAATAAAAGCTTCGTATTTGCTTCTCATTGATGAATCCGGGAAGGTCCTTGAAGGTGGTGCAAATCGCCACCTCAATCTGGCAGCCTTCATGATTCATTCGGCAATCCACACAGCCCGTCCCGATGTTAACTGCGCCGCGCATGCCCATTCCTTATATGGGCGTACCTTTTGTACTCTTGGGAGAACCCTAGATATCACCACCCAGGACAGCTGTGCCTTCTATAATGTCAGTCTTGATCGATCGGTTTGGAGGTAGATATTGATTAGTATATGGTAACAGGATCACGTGTTGTATGGAAATTTTAGAGGCGTAGTCCTAGAAGAAGAGGAGGGCATTGCTATTGCTCAGACTCTTGGAGCAAAGAAGGTACGTAACTCATAAACTTGGAAATAGACGTTATCCCTGTGGTTGATTTACCGGCGATACAGGCAGCTTTGCTCCAAAACCATGGACTACTCACCACCGGTGGGACCGTAGAGGAGACCGTATTCTGGTTCCTATCTCTGGAGAAGTGCTGTCATAGCCAATTGCTCGCAGACGCAGCTGCAGCCGGTAGGGGAGAAACGACCAAGAAAATTGGCAACAAGGAGGCTATGGATACGTATGCCGCCTTGCCACTTCTCTCGAGTTTGACATAGAACTAACCTTCTTGGCCGAGCGCAGCTGGAAGGTGATCGGTAGTAGAAAGAGCGGGCACTTCTCAGGGAGGCCGTTATTTGACTTAATTGAGGTTGAGACAAAGGGGGATTACAAAAATTAGCTCAGACATCAATTGGTAGACAATTCAATTCAGCGTAGGAATCAAGTCAAACCCGATACCAAAATTATGTGCATCACTCTACTGGTCCCTGAATGTGATGGATGGTATGAGCTGAGATTTGTGGGTTTTTGAGTATTGCAAAAGCTATCCCGGGGCAGATTAAACAACAGTTGTTGGCTATGCGCTAAGACCCCGGAATTTCCTCTCATAGCGCATAGCAGCGAGGGCACAATGAACAGAAGGGGTGCCGAATGATGCACCAAAAATTTAGAAAAACATCAAACTTAGGGAGTCTGCTCGCTGCGCCCATACTTTGCTAATGCTTTTCTCTGCTACCTCATTTTCGCCCCTTTTCTAGAGAGGGAAATTTTGGGCTACGAGACTTAGAACATAGCCTACTTATTCAGGCTTTTACATACCGTATCCGCGCTCACATCCCTACCACAATAATGAAATGCCTCAAAAGTTTTCTGGGATGCAGTAAAGCCTGGCGCGGGCGGGGTACTCGTGCCCGACAGCTCAATGCAGGTTTGCAGCTCAATGCACAATGCACATTTGTGGCACAAAGCACATTTGTGGCTCAATGCAACTTTGTGCCACAACAGATTTGTGGCACAAAGCACATTTGTGGCTCAATGCAACTTTGTGCCACAACAGATTTGTGGCAAAGCACAACTTTGTGACATGATATAGTACCAATTTGTAGTGCAACATAAGACTTTTGTTTAAGAATATAATATTTGAAGCATATGGTACAAAAAAAATATTTAAATTTTTTTGACTTTATTCAACCTTACTTGTTGTTTAATACTGGCAATAAGCCTTCTTTTTATAAGTCTGTATTCTTGGTCTTTCTTTTAATATAAGTCTTAATCTTACCCAGGAAAGGCTTATGTTCAACTTTATTTTCTACAGGCTATTCTTGCTTAGATTAATACCCTTACCAACAATTTCTAAATCAAGTGTACCTAATTTCAAATTGCCATTATGATGCTATTGCAGCAATATTCATATTGTTTGTAGGTGAGGAGGAATGGGATTTAATTGCCACCTGTATATGGTACATGATATTTACGTACAATTCCACACTCTAGCTTGGAAGAATAATTTGTAGTATCATACTGGTGGCATGATTGAATTTGTTAAGAAGTATATTGTATATAAACATGATAGGTCTGAGAATAGATAAATCTACAAGAATAAATTAAACCATAATGATATATTGAATTTGAATACTATCATAATTTTAAATGTGATATTGAACTTAAATATTATCATATTATATTGAACTGAATAATACTGTGCCACAAAGTTGCAGTGAGCAACAAATTTGCATAGAGCCACAAATTTGCGTTGAGCTGCAAAATTACATTGAGCTGTCGGGCACTCTGGAGGAGTGCCCATGGTTGCGAGCGAGAGAGAAACCAGGGGTTGTGGCGGCTAGCCACAACCTTGGCAAGAGTAGTCCGGTTGTGGAACTTTTAGCCATTGTATCTGTATCCTACGATAGCCCGGAAATATTTCGTGCAGTGGTCATGGTATTAGACCCCCCTGCCTTAACCACGTTGAGTATTGCTATTGTATCGTATAAAATTCCAATAGTAGGAAGTGAGTTTAAATAGCTCTGCTAGCTTAGGTCATGTCTTCTCAGAAGGTTTTCCCGCGTCCCCGCTAGTGTTATGATATCTCTGTAAACACTACGAATTTGAGGGTTTGTGGCTCTGAATATCCTGAGATATCAGGAAATTACTTTGTAAGCTGGATATGAGCCCGGTGAAAGAAAGTAAGGCAAAAATGGTAGGAGCTCTAGTCGAGATCCCCCGTTCTTCGGGTGTGGCTAATGCAGTCGATGTTCCGGATTTGCTAGAAAGCAGAGAAGTGTGTTCCATACTCTTCTGGCGCTTAGTGAAGGAGGGGTTTAGCTAGCAGGTATTCAGAGGGCTGTGGGGAAGCTTAGCATGCATAAGCGAAGGGGATGAACCCGGAGAAGCGAGGGGCCCCCCGTATTAACTTTCCGGAATTGGATATGATACCACGATATTCAGAAAGTGGAAGCTTTGGTCACATGTATTCCCATCACTAGTCGATATTTCCAAGGCTACTATAGTACCTATGCGTATAGCGAAAACGCTTTATTCTCCCTAGTTATTGTAAAGAGATATATTAATAGTGAACGTACGCAGCGGTTCATGTAGTGAGGAGGAAAACACTTGTGTGGAGGCAAGAGTGAACGTGTTCGACTTAGTGGTCCATGACCGATTTGCTCCTGCTTAAATACAGGAAGGGAAAACTCCTACACATCTAGGTAAACCTACATATAGGCTTAACGCACCACATACTCGCCAATTAAGGCCAAGAGCCAGCAATGAACTCAGGTATATATTTCAGCGATCTCCTTCGATATCGAGTGTCCGCTTTTACATCTAGACCGCAACTTTGTACTTGCTCATATACCCAACGGCCTCTTCCTCTGCCTTGCACTAGTATCTTACGGTACCCTAGCGGCACACGGTGCTCCTCCCATCACCTGTTGAAGGACCTACATAGACGTCAGATGGTCAGAGTAGATTGTGGAAGTCTCAGGAGTCTGACGGATAGTTCAGGAGTACCGTAGATCATTATGAAGGTTCAGAGATTTACCGACGAGATTCTCTAAACATGTCCTTCCTTTGTCATCCCGGAGTGTGAGAAGGAATGAGGGGTATTCGTGGAGAGATAGAGTAAGTGCGGCGATCTGTGGAAGGATTGGGATGCATTGTTTATGATTTATTTATACGCCTATCTTTATCGTTACTGTTAGAAGTGAAGACGAACGAAGAGAACGAAGTTGTTTACCACTCCTTCTCTGATCCACACGCCGCCCCAATTCCAGAACAAAAATTCTGCTATCTACCGCCGCTGCGCGATTGGTCTACCACTTTTATCCATTATTAAGACCAGCAGCCTCGGCAGCTTTCTTCAAGCTTAACCTCAACCCACAATCCCTGGAACAGTAAATCTAGTACTCTACACAATCCTAACCCACCCAAGCTCCCAGAAAGAATATCGCAAATAATACGCACTTGAAATATACGGGCTTATGAAAGAATAGTGACAAGCGCTTAGAGTTTTACCCCAGCAGGTCGGTCCGTCTTCTAGAATGCCCAACCAGCGCTACTATATCGTAGCCGTATGTTAAGCAAGTTGTTGTTTCCCTGCGGGTCAGGAGCGGGTGTGGTTGGAAGTACAAAACCTGGTCTTGGATGCGGGACTGGAGGACCCTCAGGGCAGAGACATATGTGATTTCTTATTTGCTAGGTTGGTAGTCGTGAGGATGAAATGAAGGGCATTGTTCTTCCCAATATCAATGGGAGGCCTGTTTTGGAATAAGGCTCTAATCCACACCAGATCATCTCTTGTCTCGTCGGGTGATGCAGCATAGCGTTGTAAGGTAAGGTTGGGCGAAAGATGTTTTGGTTTGAGATCACCAGGCTATGGGGATGCAAATACTCAAGTATTCATACTGTACTATACCCGTCAGGCAGGGGAGAGAGTACGGGCAAAGCACAAATTTTAGGACTTGTAAGGAATTTACTTTTGGCATGTTAGGTACTCTCTTTTTTTTTTTTCATAGATTCTTCCTTAAATTTACAAACAGTGGATCTACAAATTTTCCGTCAGTTTCATCCCCCTTCCACTTTAGCGATTCCTATATGTAGCGGTAGTTAGGAAGAAACGGAAAGCGCTTCTTCCCGGATATTGTAGGGAGGTCATATGATACTCTGGCAGTGAGTCGGGCCTACTGCCACCGTGGGCTAATATCTTGCGAAAGATATCCCTACCCACCTCTTTCTCACCCATTCTCTCCTCTCAGATTCTCCAGCAATTCATTCCTAAGCCCGGTCAAGGCTCTGGGTGTGCAGGGGAGGGCTCCTATATAGCAGCTTCG